TATAGCGCGCCTGTATATAATAACTGTGTGTTCGGTCTACGCGTATTTCAGTCTACGCGGTCTGGACCCGCTATGGTAGTTCCTTGTTGGACATTTGGCTTGGCTATGGACTGGTACACCTGGTGATGGCGGCCGTGCTTCGACTCTGGTACATCTTCAGGATAAATTGCAAATTGTATTGTAATTGGTACAAGTTGGATCTTGGAAATTGTAAACGTGCACAAAAAATATTTGTTTTTCTTTACTTCTAGATATTTTTGATATAACACTATGTTATCTATTTATATACACAACACACTATCTTCATCTCTCCCCACCACTCTCTCTCTCCCTCTCTCTCTCTCTCTCTCTCTCTCTCTCTCTCTCTCTCTCTTTGTCTCTCGTTCGCTCGCGCGCGCGTAAGGTTTTGGTTAATAGAAAGCTCGGGCAATTCCGGAAACTCTGCTTGTATGATGTATTTTTGATTTGGTGACTTTTGGTGGCTTCTGTCTTCAATTTAGTGGAGTATTTATTGGAGAAAGATTGATAGCGTCACAAGACTTACTAAGGACTCCAGTAATGGTATTGAAAGCAGAATGAAGGCAAAGAAAACGTTCTTGGCGAGTCTACATTTGAAATTCTAGATTATTAATATCTGGAAAATACGAGATGCTCAAGAAGCCAGTTATTGTAGATTTCTATAGTGAAATAATAAAGAACAAGGTAAAACTGGCAATAGAATTGAAATCAATACAATTGCATCACAAATATATTACACTACATACTATCATACATTAGTACGATTTTATATTAGTTATATATATTGTCCAACGATTTTGTCCATTGTAGGCCCTGTTCAAAGGATTATAATTAAAAGGTGAAATAATTAAAAGTACCCCAAAATTATTAAAAATTACTTTATACAGATGGCGTAGTTTTCGTTAATAGAGTGAGTTTAAATTTTAGCAAGACTATTCAACTTTTTAGTGTAAATAATCGTAATGCATATGAAAAAGTAGCGCCATTGCACTAATGGAAACAATGTATAGTATGTATAATGTTAATTAACAGAATCTAAATTTAGAATCAATCTCATTCAATATAACTACTATTTAATGTATCACCGATGGTTCATAACTAAAAGTGCATAATCGTATTGCATTGTGAGAGCAAAAAATTATAAAAGGTTAATTTAGGAAATTTTTTATGTCCGCATGAATTATAATACGATTATTATAAATTGGGCACTGCTAAACTAAAAGTCATCTACTAAATTTTAATTGATCTTGTTTTTTTCTGTGTATATCCATTATTGGCGTTCTCCCCACTCTACATCCCCTCCATTAAAATTATGTCGGAATACATTGCTTTATAATATGTAAACGTGGATAAGGTTTCGACAAAAGTTTCAAAGCTGTGGTGATACTTAATCTATAACAAAATATTTCTCGTTAAACAATTTTGTATCAAAATATACATTTTATTTTTGTATCAATGAATGATATTCGTGTGACTGAGACAAGTTTTGTCTAGTAGTTCTATTATTCACTTTTTCTAAGAAGAAAGAGGTTCTTTTGTCATTTATTCCTCCAGTGATTAATTTCATTTCGATTCCAAACATTTTTCAGATATTTGGGCGGTGCATCATTCAGGACATAACATTAAACATTTGGTAAAATAATTCTCGAGAGGAATTTACAATATTTGGATTATAATGTGGACATTTAAATTTAATGTTTAGAAGTAATCAACACATAAAGGGTATATGTTGTTTTACGGATTAATTAATTTTTTAACATTTATGACGCATGTTTTTATTATTAAGTACAATGAATGATAACGACTCTCTTTTTTGTTCATATTGATTTTATTACCCATTGTTTTCAGTGGTGGAACTAACCTGTATCTTTCTTCCAAAGCAATCATGTAAATAAATATTTATTCTCGAATTTCTATTGTATTACAAAAACGAAACCTCATATTATTAATCAATATAATAAATACCAAATGTTTTATATTAAGACTTATAACCATTTTTGCTTACTTTTGTACCTTTTAATTATAACTTGTTATATTCCTACCTATTCTAAATAATACCTTGTAAAGGTCTATATTTAGAAAACCATGGACCCTGTGGGACTTGTGGGACGATATATGAGCATTATCTATTTAAAAAAAGACATAACTAAACACACCAAATACACTCGTATTTTTTATATAATTGTTTTGTGTTTGTTTGTCTTGCCGTTATATCTTGACATCAAGCTTATAACATGTAATATACAAACATTAATTCATATTATGTTTTCATAATGAATTTTCCAAATATTCGAAACTTACAGAACTCCGTCACTATAATATGCAGGACATCAATGGAAAGAGGAATAAATTAAACAATATTTCGTGTACATTCGATAATAAATAATTATGAATGAAAGCAGTTAGTTAAATATTAAAACAATCATAATCGAAGTGAATACCGAATAGAATATCATTCGATAATTCCACAATATTTTCATCATGATGGTAGCACATTCATTAATATACAAATACAAAAAGTGTAATAACAAAAATATATATACAGAGAATTTTATATAAAATAATTTGAAATATTATGCAATATAAGCCTTTTACGAAAAAATTAGTAATAAAAATAAATAAATCAGTACATCATTATATATATATGATTATATATATATGATGTACTGATATAAATCTCCATATTCATAGAGATTTAAATTTTATAATGAAGTGTTAGTCTAATACCAATTATTGATATATAATTATCAGGAAATTAAATCTTGCTGACATGGAGAACCATCAAGTGGTCAAACCTAGATTTTATATTCGTTTGTATTAATCTACTCAAATTCGTGAAACCACTCGAAAACAAGTTATCGATATCATAAACCTTTGGTTCTCCAAATGGAAAATTTCAAGCATTTAAATGGTAGTTCAGACGCCATTTCGTTTAAAACGAACTGCAAGACTGTTCGATCTTCGCCTCGCCGCCCGGCACGTGCGCGGGTCTGGGGCGTGATAATGACGAGTAATGAACAACACTCCGGCATTACCGCACAGATTCCTTCTGGCTATTGGGATAAACAGAGCGAGTAATGCCCAGATTAATCGTCTGGCGTGTAGAACGCGGCAGCGATGTTACCAGGGTATTTCGATTTATATTGATTACAGGGGACGGGACACGTGGCACGCGGAGGGAACGGGCGAACAGGGCGAGTCACACGCGGGGTCGTTCTGACATGTAACAATGCTAAATTAACGCCATCATTTGAATGCACGTCGAATTTTCCCGCTATCAGCGCGCGTTGAAAGAGAAGCACGCGCAATTTTCAGCCTTCGGTTCCACTCTATCTCATCGAAATTGAGTGTTCTGTTATAGCCCACTTCAGTGTTTCTTTTTCCATTCGGAAGGTAATGAAAAACGATTAAATTGTTCCAGTGACATGCTACGTTTTGTTTGAGGTGCAAATCGCAGAAGAACCGCATTTGTGTTGAAAGAGGTTACATTTCAATGATCTCTCCAACATGTATGGAGATGTTTGAGTTTAATTTATCTTTGTAACACAAATTCGTTATTATTTGAACTAGGTATATTGTACGAGAATAAATATCAAAACCAACGAATAATTTACGTCAAAAAGATACATAGAAATACCGTTAACAAATTATATAAGGAGTGACCGATAAATTCATTTGATGATATATACCAAGTATTTTTAAATACGGATGGAAAATACTTTTACCTGATTCGATACAGATGTCTTACATGTGCCAAATTCCAAGAATTATTGAAAAATATTATTCATTGATGCGTTCTGATTGTTGTTGACTGATTTACCAGCGTTGTAGATTGAAGGAGGTCTGGGGATATTTACAGGAATAGGCTTCAGATTGGGAAACGGAGTATGCGATAAAACTTCTTAAAATGATATAGCACAATACGTCAAAAATATTGCGCATTAAGAGGTTAGGGAAAACTTGCTTCAAAGTTTCCAAGTTTTTCAAGTACATCTCTTATAGACAAAATGAGAATCAGTGTACTTTGGCCTTAACTATAGTGATCTGGGCCTTTACTATAGTGTTGCAAGCTATTAGATTAAGACATGTGTGTTCAAATATTTGTGCTATTTTTTTCCATTTTTGCAAACGGAATCATACTGATTAATATTAATTATTCCAAACTTAAAATGGTTTGATTTTAGCGTACATTCTTTCCTTGTAGTTGTGTTTATAATGTTTTTCATTAAAAATCATTGAAAATTGTGATATTCTGATATCTTATGTAATGAAGATTTCTGTTCATTATTAATGTATTGAAATTTTTATGATGCATACAGGCGTTTTCATTTTGTACACCGTATATGCGTTGAATAAACAATATAGCAACGGCAATTACATTTATCTTTTGTGGTGGTTGTACGTGGGTGAATGCGATGCGAAAGACGTTGACCTTGAGTATATTCATGATCGTGAAGAAATTCAAAAAAAACTGTTAAACAGTTCAAAGATTGCGAAATGTTCAAATAATAGTTGAAGTTTTTGCGGATGATTCTCCCTGAAAATAATTTGACGGCTTGACAATTTCAAGATACAATTTTCCATAACGCTATACTAATAGGGCCTATTTGAATACACTAAAGGTACTAAATGAGAAAAATGTTAATAATGAAAAATTAATTCACATGACCGTCGTCATATTCAAGCATCGCAAATACAGCGACGTAGTTGTTTGCTGAAAAAATAACACACTTTCTAAATCAATTCAATATTCAGTATGTAGTTAATAAAGAACAAGTAAAAATAACGGTGATGCATGATAACATGGATTCGAACATCAAAACGCTAAGCTCGTGCGCCTCCACTTGGACCACCACACCAGCGAATCTACGTGGGGGGGGGGTCTACTAGTGAATTTCTCTTCACTTTGAAAATCGAGGTCACCTTACATGACTTTGAGACATTTATATAAATAAGAAAACTTCTTTAAAAAAATGTGCTATTCAAAAGAGAGAAGTATGTCGTTGATACTCTAATCGCCGTAACTTTGTGGGTGAGCTGCCCATGCCGTGCATTCTGAACGCGGCAGTAAGGACAAGTACTGCAATCGCGAGTTTTTACTAGTGCTATTGCCGAGCCGAAGTATCGTCTTGGTTACAAAACACTCCAAATTCACACATAGAAATTCCCTTCCCTATTTTTACGCAATAAAAAATAGAAACATTTTACTTACCTATTGAAGAGTTCTATATTGAAGAAAACATATTCTCCACTATCTACCATATTCAGTTCTTCTGCAGCCAAAAGAATATCTCGTACAGTCTTTGGGTTCGCGCAGACAACAACAACTGAAAGAAAGAAAATATGTTTTAGTCAAAATAAAATTGACAATGTATTTTAAACAAAATTAATGAAACATACACATCATTTCTCAAAATAATTTGAATGTTTGTATCATCACAATCAACAAGAGAAGGAAAACGAATTAGTGAGATCTGGTAGTAATTTATCTACTATTTAGACGATGTATGCTCTTCAAATTATCTCCTTCCACTTCATCTCCCTTTCCGCTGTTTTTATAACTCCAGAATGAACGTTATTTCTCTTCTCCGGATGATATTTAATTACCAGACTTATTGAGATCTCAAAATTCGTTTTGTAAATTAATTTGAGTCAGTAAGCAAGAAGATGGGAGCAGCTTTTTATACTTTTGCGAGAGTGAATTCACAAAGTCAGGTGCACATCTCCAATTGACAAAAGAAATAATGTATATTCGTAAAAATTAACGTAATTGTGTAATTTTAAATGCTATTACAAATCCTCTTACTCTTATTACTATTATTGTAATAATTATTTATTACTATTATCTACATTACTTATTTCCAATACGTTCAGAAATTGAATGAAAACTATGCAGCCTCCAGGCACGTGAAAGGTGACTATGACTTTGTTAGATTCTCAGCAATTGAAAAAAACACAAAACCACTTTTGCAGAATTTTTCATTAAATTTCTGTCTGTAATGGACATTAGTACAGACTCTGCAGTTTTGATAAGCGCGTATGATTTCGATAGATATTGAAGAACTCGAAAAAATCCAAAAGTAATAAATAATTGATTTCGATTTTAAAGTACGTCATGCAACAACAAGCCTTTAAGAAAGAGGATATCCGCCATTAAATATTTGTTATTTACAAGTTGTAATATGGGAGAGCAACTTCTTGTTATATTCTTGGCATGTAAAGAACGGTTACACTGTGTATCCATATGTATACAATACTTTGTTACTACAGTAATCTTGAATAATTGTTTAGGATTTTTTCGTGTTTCCGTGTGCGTCAAATGTAATGGTTATTAGAACCGTAAGTGTAGTGCATATTTTCCAGAGGAGGAGGAGGAGGAGGTGGTGTTCATCCCCAACTAAATACTAGGAATCGGCGCCTATCTATCCCTCGGCTTGCGAAGGGTGCCACATCCATGTATCTCCTTTCAGCGGGGCACCACTCCAGCTGGGACAAGCTCTAAGCTTCCGAATGGTCTGGGACACGTGTGGAAATGTAGTGCATGTTAGCGTGTTTGAAAGTAAGAGGTGAGAGGACTAGGAAGAGTAGGGAAGGACCGCACGCGGTCCATGGCCGTTTATTGGGGTACTGCTCCAGCATTCGCCTGGTGTCGACCAGAAAAAAAACGAAAAAAAAAACACCGGAGCAGCTGGATGAAAGAATTCTCCTCCATAAACCAGCAGACTCCTACTTAGATTTCTTAGACTACGAAATTTCTACCACTGTTGGGAGTCGAACCCTAGGATCTCTAGATCAGAGACACAGCAGTGACATGAGTAGATGTCATGAACCACCTAAGTTGATCGTAGGTTGGGAAGCGCCTGCAAGAGAGAGATTAAAAGAGAGAGTATAGAAAGATATTGAAAGAGAGAGTAAAGGGAGATACTAAAAGAGAGAGTAAAAATACATATTAAAAGAGAGAGTAAAAGAGAGGGAATAAGAGAGACAGAAAGAGAGAGAGAAAACAACAGAATACGGTAACATTGAAAACAATTTCACGGACATTGAAGGGAAGATGTGCGGCTCTCAATTGCGATGCGAATTGGCTCCGTGATGATAGAGACCGAAGGCCCGGTCCTAATAGCTCATGAACAATCCTTCCAGATTAAGCGTAAATAGGAAATACACGTGGGAAGTACTTTTATCCAATTTCCGTCCTATTGCATCAAGAATTTATTACAAATGAATAACAAATATAAAAATAAATTAGACTTTAAACAGTTGTTTGATGGGCATTAATGTTACGTAAGAGTATCATGGAGTCTTTTCCGACATTTCGAGCGGAAAAAGTTCGTATAAAACACCTTTTACACCGCATTTATCAACAACCAATATCGATTATGTTGTGTTTATTTCTACTTTTGCTAATTTCACGATACATTAACTCTATTTTACACATTAAATCCCGGTTCCCTGCGGCAATTTCATGAACGCTATTCTGATTTGCACATGCGCATACAGTTTATATTACCAAAAATTCGATATGACTTTATACTGTTGATACATTAACTAGTATCAAAGAATAATTAGCTGAGTAACTATCAGTGGAGTGAATAACAGACTTTAATGTATTTAACGGACGAATAAACGCTTGAATACTTATGAAAGGGAGCATTCAAGAAATGTTTCATAAAAAGTATATATTATAATATTCGATCTTTCTGCATACATCCTCAATGAAATAACACACGTCGGTAGTCATGTTAAAGAGGTTGTCAGGATAAGGTTTTGACTATACAATTATACACACCTCAATGTTACAAACCAGCAGAACCTCGGTATAACTTGATATTGAGAGTAAATTAATTTTATAAATTACAAATTCACATTTAAATTACACGTACCAGCATGTTTACTACAATATAACTAAAAACGAAAAGCAATATAACTTACTCGTATTTGCCATAAGAATTTTCAACTTCTAAATTCTTAATCAAGAATAAACTATGTATTCCGAATTTGAATTTTTGTCAACGGTCAAAACAGAACAAAGTAATACAAGTAGATCAAAAACGCGTAATATACAAGGGGTAGAAAACTAATGCTGGTGCATCAACACATACTTCATCGCGCTATTTCTAACGATATCGCAATATTATACCACTACATTTATTGCAAAAGTACTTTCAACCAGCCATTATTTTCTCCACGCCAAGACTCGAACTCAGATCCATAAAGTTAACTCGCCATGCGATGTTTACAATGTTGACAATACTACGCAGTCACTCGACTACGATCACGGCAGAAGCTCATGTTCTCCCATTATTTCCACACACAAATTTCGAAAATGCGAAAAGTTTATTGAAGATTAAATCTGCACAATTTTTAATAGGTCTTTGCTCTATTAGTAAAAACAATTTAAGGAAAAAATTGGAGCCATCTATGAAAAAATGTTTTAAAAATTGCCTATATTTCCCGCAAAAGTACGTGAAAACTACTCATATTTGCGAAAACTTACGTATGACCTTATTACAACAGATGTCATTAATGAAAAGCTCTCCATCCTCAATATTGTAGTTGCAGGAAAGTGTCGAAAAAAGGTAAAATATTGCAGTTTTCGTGTAATTAAGGTTTTAACTAAGATGAAGCCCACGCCATTTATAAACGTAAATGCTAACCGAGAACAAATGTTTCATCAAAAAATTTGGAGACGGTATTTAGTTTTAATTACGTTGAGGCTTAATGTAAAGTGTTCTCTAAAAACAAATATCCGCTTGAAAGTTGCTGAGTCTTGAGTTTGTTCAGAGCGATCGTGGAATGTCAATTTTGGATAAAATCGTCTGAAAGATTTAGGCGTTGGCGTTTTCGTTGGCCATAAACAGATAAGGAGACGTACAGACGGTTTGACGCCAATGGATTTTCCGGTATCTAGAAAATGCATGCATTCTGATTACAAAACATGCTAGAGAAATAATATACTACAAACACAAATAAGATGTATCCATTTCCCAGTAACCAGGTATCGGAGATAAAAGTTTTTTCTTTCAAAAAATTGCCGATTCCCGGTGCACGAATGCAATTTTTCTTACAAAGTAAGACGAGAAAGAAAAATTATGCCGATTCTTAGGAAATTTTGAAATTGTGAAATGATATTTGTATGTGTAAGGGGTCTCAAGTTTCACCAGATCAAATGGAGAAAGAATTCATTTTGTAAAGAACGCTGTGTAAAGATTTGATTCTACTGTTGTTCTCAGACGAACGGGCAAACAGACGAGAGGAGATAGCTCAATCTTAGGGGCCCTTTGTAGGCATACAAGGCCTAATAGCAGTGACCCAATGTAGATACAAAAAAGAGGCACTTATTGTACTTGCATTGGTATTTATACTTTTCATTTCTAAGGTTAATTTAGGTGTCAACATTTCTAAACTGGCCTGTTAAATTAAATACCCATACTATATTTCGCAGACAAGTATTCAAAGCAAAGGGAGGAGAGCATTTTTCTAAATGCTTTTAAATTGCCCATTGTTGGCCGTTTCTTTAGAGAAGCACCTCAAACTTCTTACTACAGAGAAGTTCAGGAAAAGAAATTTAGTAACTTCTTGGTTCTTACAGTCCTCTCTTGCATCCTTATCCGAGATACAAAATTCTGAGCTTTATGAAAGTTCTGAGCTTCAATTTGCTGCATGTGAGGGTTAGCAATTGATAACACATAATTGAATAACACATCGCGTTGATTGCATCGAAGGGTGAATTCATGCGTTTTCCGTGTGATGTCCATTCACTTGGTGAACTATCCCATTTGCTGGGCCGCAATTCGAACGGTGGTCTCCGGACGGAACTGGCGCGCGAGGGATGAATGCGCAACCACGCTCGTGATTTATTAATTCACACGATTTCACACCGCGTTGGTGGCAACGGAATGAAGTGCGCTTTACTGCTCCCTTGACAGCTGGGCCCAGTGTGTTTTCAAAGCAATGAATCGCATGGAAATATGAACTTCTGGGGAAGCAGAGAATATAACTCTATTTTGAATCTGGATCCGATAGCTCAGTGATAGCGGATCTGATCCTCGATTCAGATCGTCTGTTTAGATAGATTAAGAACCAGATATTTCGATATCTATTAATTACCTGCATAACGTATCTGTTCGGAAATATTGCTGGGGCAGCGTTTTTGAAATACCAGAAATGGAGATTTTTTTACAGATTGCTTTTGATGGATTATAACCAAGAAACTGGTACATGAGAGCTCCAGGGAATGACAGCTGGAAAACAACGCTACTTTCAAACTCTTGCATCCCGTTGCAACAGAATTCTGGTGGTTCCAGTGTCTAAATTTAAAACGATTAAAAATTCAGTACTTTCTGGCTGCAAGTTGCGCACACAAATTGTTACAAGAGATAAGAAAGTAAATAAACTTCACTATCAGCTAAGTGCAGAAACTACTCCGGATTTTTTTACAAACGTCAGATATTAAATCACATTTTGCATCACTAGAAAGAATGTTTCATTTCTACGGTCTTCAATCTCGATGTGGAAAATAACATTAGTTCAAATATTTTGCACCAAACTCAGGAAAAACGAATGTTGTATTTTACACATTTATTTTTAATGTTACACGCGCCATCTTTTTGGCAATTATAGAACTATCGGTATTCATTGGATATTTTCTCATATTTCGTAAAAGAGAAGTACCAACTTCACCATTACCCAATCTTCTGGTAATCCATAATATGGTAAAGGAAATAATCGTCCACAAAAGGTTTAATAATTTTTATTAATTATTACCCAAAATCTTCCCCACGTTATCTGCTATCACCACAGAATTTACTTCTATTGCCCTAACACCTTCCTGAACAGGTTTATTGTTTCTCTTGTGTCTTTTTATTCAAAATGCCTTTTTACTTCTTCAAAAAATGTAGTAACCAACTACATTGAAGGAACAAATCTTGTTCTAGTTTTGACACAAGGGGCATGAATTTAATAAATTTTATGTATTCCTCTGTATTTATAACACGCTAAATCTTTATTTATTATTATTATTATTATTATTATTATTATTATTATTATTATTATTATTATTATTATTATTTTTATGACCTCTCACAATTACAAAAAACATCGCCGCCAACCCTCGCAAATGTGGTACCGATAGAGACAGAAATATTTCCATCGTCTTGAATTAAAATTAAAATTTTAGAAAAGGGTATGAGATGAAAGTAGGTGCTCATGTAACCCGCGACACATGCAAATCTGTAACACACATTTGCCGTCGTTTCTAGCTTGGAAACGTAGGGTTTTTAGACATAAGAAGAGGTTTTCGTGTTGAGACGTTCGGCAAATGGGTTTCGCGATTAAGCTCTTTTCGCTGTTATAACACTGATAGGTTGCAAAGTGCGCTAGTTCTCACGGGTCCACCTAGTCAGCCTTATTCCCCTGATTATATTTTTCATTTTTGCTTACTATGATCAAAGAAAAACAGTAGACTGTTGGAAAAAAATTGAAATTTGGCGCGCCTCTGACACCGAAAAAGATTTTCTTGCTTCTATACGTATTAAATTACTTTCGCATATGCAGTCCGAATCACCGTTTATGAGATCAAAGATGCTGAAATTTATTTTTTCTCAAAATGCACACCAGTATGTGTGTCTGTGAACAACAATATTGCCTAGATCGTACACATAATTTAACCCAATATAAATATTTCCCAAATGATCTGACTGATACAGCGGTCCTCGAATTTGAAACGGATCTTTTTGTGCAATGAGAAGGATTAAATGAATCGCGGGTGTTCAAGCAGGGTGGCCAAGTGCTGAGAAGGCAAAAACACTGTGCCAGAGCCGAAGAGCGAGTATTTGGCCGCGCCCCCTGCCACTATATAACCAGGGCGCAAGAGCGCTAAGGCAGTTGCTGCCTTGCGTGAGTGGAGTTTTGTGCGCATTCACTCGGAACTGGGATAGTTCTAGCCTCTGATGTTCCGCTCATGGAATAATCCTTGATCTATTAATTCAAATTAACAAAATATGATAAACCAACATTCGGAGCTTTTAAAACATACAAAAACTTACATGATCTTTTTAGTGTTCGTCTATTACGTCGTGACACGAGTCACTAAAATCAATTTCCTGATATCTGTATTTTTATATGATGAAAACATAATAATAATAATAATAATAATAATAATAATAATAATAATAATAATAATAATAATAATTGAGGAATACATGACTCGGTGTATCTTTTTTTGGTTTATATAATTATAAAACCAATATACAAATCAAAATTGATTAACAGTCAGTGAAACGATTAAACCATTTTGCACAATAGTCTACATGTTTCACTAATGTTTTCACATAAAAACCTTTTCGTAATCATCGACGTCTATGCGACGAGAAATATACGTTCTTGCACGTTCATCTAATCGAACAAAACTTGGTAGTAATATCTTCTCAATTTGAATAATTGATTTTTTAATATATACAACTAATATATAATCGTATTAAGGCTTAAGAAACATAGGAGGAAATTACTCAAATCTAGCGAGATTCACTTTCTACCTTCGCTTCACTTCACATCCGGAGAAAATTCTGTGCCAAAATTTTGACGTTAATGGTTGAGAGAGGCAGGATAAGAGAGAATAAGGGAAGGAATTAATATCCATGAGAGGAGATAGCGAGCAAGTAGGAACCTGGGAATTCCATTATTCAGTCACGTTCAATTTATGCGAAAGCTCCAGTATTAATTACAGTTGAAGGTGAGGTCGTAACAATTCAAACTATGGATTATTAATAGCTTATGGTCAAATAAAAAGGAGATCGTTTATCTGGGCTTGCAGTTCATGAAAGGTAATGTAAAGATTTACTCCATTAAGACTTTAGTCTCCAGGTGATATTCTATTAGTCGAAAGGGAATTGAAATTCAGTTTCATTCACTTTTATAAAATAGATTGAAATGAAAGTTTTCATA